TTCCTGTATGTTTGACTTTGTCACCCCTCTATCTTGTGTGTTTCTGCCCAGTTAAGTGTCTCGATAAGATGGAGGAGGAGTCCTGTTCATCAATGCTGGCGTACTTTTAATAAATATGGTGAAAATCATAAATACGCCTTCTGATTAGTCAGTGAAGCTTTTTGATGATTTCCTCTCTTCTGTCTAATAAGGTAAAAGTGTATTTGATTGGCTTGTTGTTTGGTGGTTGTGCAGCTTTCTGTATCTGTCTCTCTTGAACCTTACAGTTCAGAGTTGATCAAACAGAGTGTATGATCAGCAAAGATGGAGAACTGTCTAACTCTCATTTTTTTGTCTTCTGTGATCAAACTCACCACAGCTGGTACGTACACACTCATGATCGTTATATGTTAGTTATGTTATAGTGATTGACTGTTTGTGTTTGTGATATAAATTGGTCATAATATAATTTATAGTTCCCTTTTTTTATGTGTAGTATTTGCATTAATATAAAAGTGAATTTCTTTCTCTCATGGTCATTTTCTCTGTTCCTCTCTCTTTTGCTGACTTTTCTCTGTTGTTGTTTGTCTTCTCTCAGATACATTTTATATACATCTTTCTGTATCTTGCAGGAAATGTGAGGCTGGTGGATGGTAGTAATTCCTGTGCTGGTAGGGTGGAGGTTTATTACAGTGGAGAATGGGGAACCGTGTGTGATGATTATTGGGATTTGACAAACACTGCAGTGGTGTGTAGAGAGCTGGGCTGTGGCGAAACGTCAAACACAATGCGTGGTGCTCACTTTGGACCAGGATCAGGAAAAATCTGGATGGACGATGTGATATGTAGTGGATCTGAGTCCTCAATATTTGATTGCTCAAAACAAAAATGGGTGACCATAACTGTGAGCATAGTGTTTACACACAGACAGCAAACAGCCACGAATGTGTGTAATCTGTGGGGGCTTGTGAGGGTTTGAATTTCCCCCAACTGTGGCGAATTTTTATGCCCACCTATCTGTTTGTGGAGAAGGCAGATGCCAGTGCACTTTGACACCAGTGCAGATAGAGCTCACAAATGTTGGGCTAAAATGTGTGTGGTCCCTCAGCCTGAGGTTATCATCATTAATGGAAAATATTATGAAGACAAAAACTAAAACTAAACTCATAAATATGTACTACAATATAAACAAATTGAATAGAATATAAATGTTTAATCAGTGCCGGATGATCTGATTTAAACGAGAGGGGAAGGGATCGTCTGATCCAGTGAAAGCTGCTGATTCATATGACAGTAGTTACAATTTACAGCCAAGTGGATGTACTACTAAAATCAGTAATTTTCAATTAAATATATATAGTAGTACGTAAGTCCCTCGGTGTCTAATTTATTACAATATTTTACATACTTTGTTTGCCCAAAGTATGTAAAAACCTGGTAACTCTTAAGCTTAGTAGTCACTGGACACGGATAGAGCAGCATTCTATAGAGAATTACATTGAGCCACTAAGAAGAGATTAATCACAAATAACATTGTGGAAATTAATAATACAAAGCAGATTATTGGCTCTTAAACATGGGTGACTTTACATGGTACTGCTCTCAATTCATTCTCATTTTATGTTGCATAACATATCACCTCCTGAGAGCGCTCTCCATCTCCTTCCTCTCTTGTCGTGCCTCTTTGATTTGATAAGTGACACGGGCCAGGAACTCAAAGTTGGACAAGAGCTGAGGCTCATCTTTCCTGAGCTGAGCCCACAGACTGCGAACCTCACTCAGGCTGAAATGAAGAGAAAACTTTTAGTACTTGTAGCAATATAAAGCGTCAAATGTAAAGCATTTTTTGCAATGCAATGTGCAGAGCAAAGTGTAAAACATCAGTACTGACTCTTCAAACACATTGCTAGCACCCAAGCTCTCCATCAACATGCAGAAATGTCTCTCTTCATCATCCTCATTCTCTGACAGCTGTTCATCCCCTGAACTCTGATCAAGAGCTTCTGGAGCTTTTTGAGAGGGTGCAGTCATTAGTTCCTCCGTCATGGAGATTCTCCGTCCATGAAGAAAGTTACCTGGGGAACAAACATAGAAACACCTTGGAAAAGTTTCATTTGCTGTGCTAAAAATATTGTACCAAATAACAAATCATTTTTGAAATGCTCCCCTTTCTGGAAGGAGATGATAAACATACTAAATCCAGAGGAAAACTCTCCCAGCGTCAGGTATCCATTTTTGTCAAGATCTAGTGAGTCAAAGACGCTCTCGAGTTCCTCAGTAGTAAGTGGCAATTCTTCATGTAGCCTCTAAGATAGAGGAGAAATAGATGGGAAAATGACATCAACACAATTTTCTGCTATCTAGATATTATACCAGCCTATTATGAACATTGTACATAAAAAAAAAATAGGAGTGTAAAAATGCAACATATGCACCCTAAAAATTTTGAACCAAAAACAAAACTTTGATGGCCATAGATCGGCTAAACAATACTAAAACAACATTTGAATAGACATAGCTGTTTGGATATATAAAGCCATGACAGATGTGAATAAAATAAAATAGAAAAGTGGTGAAAAATGCCCATTTTAAGGACCCCTGCTTTACCCTCATATCCGTGCGTGTGATGAAGCCCTTTCCCTCGCTGTCACAGATCTGGAAAAAGTCCTCTATTTTGTCCAGCATAGCAATGTGTCCCCATCCTGCCTCTTTATTCACACTTTTCCTTGGCTGCAGCTGCTTGTCATCCTGGTCTGAGCCACTGTTGATGGCACGTGTTGTTCTAACGTGTTCAGTCTCTGACATGATTCCAGTACAGCTTACTTTGACCGTCTTCAAACAGGTCAGGATGAAATGCAGGCGCGAGACATGACAGCACAAACGGGATGGACTTTAAAGCTAGATCCAGTATGAGGAATTCTCCTGATTAATTCAGAAGACATAATGCATTGTTGTCTTGTACTGAGTCAATGCTGTGGGTCCCAGCTGGAAGTGCATGAAAAAGCACAACACGTCAGCATGTCAATCCCTTGTGTTTTTAGGAATGTTAAGACTTCTTGAAAAGTGAAATGCAGATTACTGGTGTATATGTGTGTGTGTGTGTGTGTGCATCGGAACAGATTTACAAGCCTTGAGCTTAAATTTCAGGCTCACTTTAGCTTTGAGTGAGAACTGTAAAAACTTTTAAACATTTAATGTTTAATTGAACACTTGAGTACTTTAACTCTATGCAATAAAATTATAAACGTTGCTAAATGCAATTGAGTAAAATTATGTATGGGAATGTAAAGATTAAGAAAAATTCTAATTTTGACATACATATAAATTTAGTTATATTTAGTTCCATTTAATTGAGTTTATTTAGATCATGAAAAGTGTTTGATAGTGCGCATCTACAAAGCCACAGTTGGAGACATCAGTCAGCAGACCTGTCACTTGATGTCCCACCACCACAATGACAAGGGGGGAAAGGAAGAGGTTTCTGTGGTGAAATTTACTGTTTGAACAGAAGTTGAACTGGCTACGGTTTGTAAGAGGGGTTATCAAGTATTTTCGATTTCTATTTAAGCATTAAACCAGTTAAAATGATTCTGCTGAACTTGGTTGACAGACAGATAAGGTTGACGCACATCTTGCTCCTCTATGTTTAGTAATAAAGGTTGAATGCCAGTGCTCTGTGTAATTTGTGACATTAAGCTAAATACATGAAATACTGAATTCATGAATCTTCAAACTAAAATTACATGCAAACGAAGTTCTTATAGTGAGAAATTCGTATAATGAAAATACAGAATTGCAGCTCTTACTTGAACAATAAAATAAGTATTTTACTCTTCCAGGTCTGTGGCTACAATAATCTTAGTATTAACTTGTTTAATTAAATCCAGTAAATGAGTGAAGTTTTTGGACAGAGACCGTTAATGATCGGATCTCAGTGCGCGCGAGGAGAGGAGGAGGCACTTGTTCAGCTCGCGGTCAGAACAGGACGTTTCTATAGTGACACAGAAGTATGGGATGAAATTAGTCTCAAATTTACTAACAAATGCATGCACAATTATCCTTGAACTTGATAAATGTTCCAAATGTATCGTACTATCCACAACCAAATGTCTGTCAACTTGTGTCTGTAAAATTCAGAATTACATGAATGTGCAGCGGTTTGTACAAATAGAAACAAGGACTGAAATGCTCAAGGAAAGCTCTTTTCATGCTGAGCTAATCAAAATGACCACAGCTGATCACAGATGAAAGTCAAATGGCTTTGTGTGCCATTGAGAAGGTGATTCACTAAACCTGATTGAGTTTACAAGTCAGTTTTAGGATGGGGGATGTTACTGAACTGGATGTTACTGAACTTGTAACATCCAGTTGTAACTTGGATGTTACAAGTTGCACTGAGCAAATACATCTGGATAAAACAAAAACTGTGTCCGACCTCATTTCAGGCTGCAAAGCAACAAAATGTGATCATTTTAAAGGGTGGTGATTCTTTTCTATACTCACTGTATGTATGCTACAACCAGGCAAGAGATAAAAAAATAAGGAAAACCTGTAAATTCTCCTCTTATTATATTATATTATATTATATTATATTATATTATATTATATTATATTATTCACAGTATTGTATTATTTAAACTAAACACTATTGCAAAAATACTAATCTAATGTAAAATAAAATGTATTTAATAATATTTATTATAATGATGATGATGATGATTTTTCTTATTCAAATTATTATTCATATTATTATTATTATTATTATCAATGATATTAATATATTCAAATTGTTTTAAGTCGTGCTGCCGCCCCCTTTGTAAGGTTGTTGTTAAAAATCATGTTCTTTTTTTTTTCATTTAAAAAATCCAAGAAGTTTTACCATTTTTATGAATAGAGAAATTAACAATTTATGTCCAGATAAAATGTTCACCAGTGAGAGGCTCCCTCATGTGGTGACACAAGACTCTTGTTTGCTCGTTTTTAAAATAAGTGCTTTGCTGCCATCTGCTGGATGAATTACGCAAAGCAGTATGACGCCCACCCACAAAAGCCTTGATATGATGCCAAAAGAATATCTTTGGAACAGAAAGCAATGTTTATTTACAAATTTTGTCAGAATAGCCCTCTATTTGTTGTACACACAAAGTCTAGTTCATTTTATAATATCTCAGCATACTATTTATTGTGTTCTTGGTTAGAACATCATAACACTGTAGTAAAATCCACTTAATATTATGGATACAATGTAGTTCTTTTAATGAAAATAACTATAAAATGTTAAATTGACTATAATTTATATATTTATAGCATCTGTCCATGAAATAAAGAGTGAGAGGTTCCCTCATGTGGTGACACAAGACTCTTGTTTGCTCGTTTTTTAAAATAAGTGCTTTGCTTGTTTGCTCGTTTTTTAAAATAAGTGCTTTGCTGCCATCTGCTGGATGAATTATGCAAAGCAGTATGACGCCCACCCACAAAAGCCTTGATGTGATGCCAAAAGAATATCTTTGGAACAGAAAGCAATGTTTATTTACAAATTTTGTCAGAATAGCCCTCTATTTGTTGTACACAAGTCTAGTTCATTTTATAATATCTCAGCATGCTATTTATTGTGTTCTTGGTTAGAACATCATAACACTGTAGTAAAATCCACTTAATATTATTGATACAATGTAGTTCTTTTAATGAAAATAACTATAAAATGTTAAATTGACTATAATTTATATATTTATAGCATCTGTCCATGAAATAAAGTTTCAGTAAGTGAGCAGTCAGTCATCAGTGCTTGTATCTGCTGTGTTCAGGTTCAGGTTTTGATGCTGAATATAAGCTGCAGTGTTTCTGTATCAATCTGCTTTAAGTTTAGTGTGACTTTATCTCCACACTGACTTATGAGTGACACGAGTCTGTCCTCAGTGAAGTGTCTCTTCACGCTGGAGGAGGAGTCCTGCTCATCAGCGCTCACACTTTATTGATATATATGGAGAAAATACAAATGCTGCTTTCTGATTTGTCACTGATTGTGTTTGATGATTTCCTCTGTTCTGTCTAATAAGGTAACAGTGAGTGTCATTGGCAGCTGTGAGTCTCTCTCTCTCTTTAGGGGGCTGACAGGAGCCAGTTTCTTAGGTGTGTTTGAGGGAGCAGAGGAGAAACTTGTGCTGACAGTCAAACAGACGGTGTGACGAGCAGAAGAAGATGGAGGGATGCCTGACATTATGCTACTGGAAGACTTAATCTTATTCAAAATACAATATTTATTCCATATACATTTTAGACTGAAGATTAATGCTTGTGTCATTTAAGTTTCGAATTTACTTATATAAAATGTAATAATGATATAAAGCATATTTATTATATAAATGTTCCTCTGTGGTCTTCAACACATTTGCAGTATTTTAGTAAAATGTCAGATCTTTCACTCAGATTCCTCTCTGGCTCTTCATGATGGTCTGGTGCGGTTGTCTGGAGGGAGACAGTGTGAGGGGGAGGTGGAAGTTTTCATCCATCAGGTCTGGAGGAGAGTTCAGCTGTATTAAACCATTATTTTTTTATATTTTAGCTTTAGCACAACCTAAAATTCAGTTGTTTTAATGTACATCGTTTTCTGTCTAGAGTTTAAAGAGATCAGGTTAACTGAGGGCTGTGAAGGGAATGTGGAGGTTTTCTACAATGGATCCTGGGGTAATATGTGCTGGAACCAGATGGACGGAGACACAGCGAGTCTGATCTGTCAGGAGCTGAACTGTGGAAGATCTGGGGTTTTGTCTGATTCTACAGCAAGAGTGAAATCAGCTCGTAACTGGCTGGATAAAGTTACATGTCGCCCACATGATTCATATCTGTGGCAGTGTCCATCTTTACCCTGGGGACAGAATGACTGTAATAATAAGGATGAAGTTGCCAAAATCACCTGCTCAAGTGAGATGATATTTAAATAATGTAAAATGGTCTCAGTAGTCATGTTTCTTTAAGCACAATGTTTATATGTCGTGAGTAAACTAATGTTTAAGAAAAGTTAAACTTAGCTGATGGAAAGAGCATAAAATTATTTGTGAGGCTTAAATGATACGGAGGTTTTTCACAGCGGCTCATGGGGGACAGTGTGTGACGACTCCTGGGATATTAAAGATGCTCATGTGGTGTGCAGACAGCTGCAGTGTGGAGTGGCCCTCAGTAACCAGCAGGTACCAGCCTGGTTTGGTCCTGGTTCTGGACCCATATGGCTGGATGAGGTGGAGTGTGAGGGGAATGAGACGTCCCTGTGGAGCTGCTCTTCTCCAGGCTGGGGAAAACATGACTGTCAACACAAGGAGGATGTAGGAGTCGTGTGCTCAGGTAAACACACTGCTGTGCTTTTTAAATTATACTTAAAATTAATATAAAGGTTTTAGAAATAACCTTTTAACACATCCACATATCCATAATGCCCAGGTTTTTCAGTTTTGGTATTTTAAAATTATATTTTCTTTTCAATTTCATCTAGAGTTAATTGTTTTAATGCACATCCTTTTCCATCTAGAGTTTAAGGAGATCAGGTTAACTGAGGGCTGTGAAGGGAATGTGGAGGTTTTCTATAATGGATCCTGGGGTAATATGTGCTGGAACCAGATGGACGGAGACACAGCGAGTCTGATCTGTCAAGAGCTGAACTGTGGAAGATCTGGGGTTTTGTCTGATTCTACAGCAAGAGTGAAATCAGCTCGTAACTGGCTGGATAAAGTTACATGTCGCCCACATGATTCATATCTGTGGCAGTGTCCATCTTTACCCTGGGGACAGAATGACTGTAATAATAAGGATGAAGTGGCCAAAATCACCTGCTCAAGTGAGATGATATTTAAATGATGTAAAATGGTCTCAGTAGTCATGTTTCTTTAAACACAATGTTTATATGTCGTGAGTAAACTAATGCTTAAGAAAAGCTAAACTTAGCCGATGATAGCTAATGATTTGTGAGGCTTAAATGATATGTTTTCACACTGATATGTTTCACTGAAAGAAGTTATGTCCCTTGTATCCTAATGTTCAGTTCTCTTCATGTTTTAATCTCAGAGGAGGAGAATCAGGAGTCTCCTCGGAGTCATCTGACATGTTTTATCTCACCATCTCCTCACCAGAGACAGTGTTCAGGTAAGTTTTTGACATATATATATAATTTTAGTTAACATATGCCTTATTTTCCAAATATATTATTGAAATATGTACAAATATGTACATCTTGGTTCAGTGTGTTTTTTGTTGTAAATGTGCTGAAGCTGGTCAGTGATTTTTGATGTGTGTGTTTTAGATCATGTTCCTCTCAGACTGAGTGGACGGGAGGGACGGTGCTCTGGGAGGCTGGAGGTGTATCATAACGCTGCGTGGGGCTCAGTCTGTGATGATCAGTGGGACATCAGCGATGCTCAGGTGGTCTGCAGGCAGCTGGGTTGTGGAGCAGCACTGAGGGCTGATGGGAATTCAGTCTTTGGTGCTGGTGAAGGTGTTGTGTGGCTGAACAGAGTCGAGTGCAGAGGGAATGAGATTCACCTGTGGGACTGTCCTCTCTCCCTGAATAACCACATTGACTGCTCACGCAAGAAGCTTGTTACACTCAACTGTGAAGGTCACAGCAAAAAATTTTGACAATGTTAGTAATAATAGTTGAGTGTTTAATCAGATATTTGCTTGATTGTTAATGTGTTTGTGTCTGTTTTGGCAGATTTATCAGTGTCCACTACTCCTGCCACAACATCATCAGCTTCTTCTCCAGTTTCTCCTCCAGTGCGCTCAACATCAGTCGCTCCTCCACAAACTCCCCCAGCAGCGTCTCTCTCCGTCCCCCCAGTGCTTGTGATTGTACTGGGAGTTGTGCTCTTACTGCTCTTAGTGCCACTGCTTATACTGATTCAGCAGAACAGAGTGATGAGGAGAGGTAGGAGAGATCCAGAGACTGTCATATTGTGTCTTATTCAGTGTGTGATCAGTCATGTGTTGTGAACTGACAGCAGGTTTGTCTGTCTACACTCACAGCTCTCTCTAAGAGGAGACACAGGACGATGACTGAGGCCGTTTATGAGGAGATTTGTTCTCATTATATTAACATTTATTTATATTGTAATATTTTTTACATTTTTCCAACTTTTTATACTTTTAAAATATTCATCCAATTACAACATTTGACATGATTTTTTATATTTTTAATAACAGATTATGATGATGTGGAGGAGGAGTCAAACAAAGAAGATTTTTCCCAATGATCATCCATTTCCTCGGTTCAACAAATTTGAACAAAGTTTGAGTGATATTGTTATTGATATGTCAAATCTTGGGGTTTTATGTTTCACCAAGTGTTCTTTGTTTTTTATTAAAACTTCTATGCCTTTGTCAGATTTTGTTGTGTTTTTTTTTTGGCCTTGTTAGTAGCAATAAAAAACTTTTCAGACAAATGTTTGTGTGTATTTCAATAAGGCATTACACAAACCCTGAAGTCAAATGTCTGATCTTACCTTCTAATGCACAACTGCTGCGGTGACAATCGAAGACATCCTAAATATAAGCCATAAATGACCATCAGTGATTTCACAGCCCTCAGCATCATCACAGCAAGTACTGGAGTTTTGTGAGTGGATAATGCTGAAAAAAATGCATTTACTTTAGATGCATTAAAGTAACTTTCATAATAGAGAAAAAAAAAATTGTATCACATAATTGTTTGTGATTAGATGTGTTTTTAATCGATAAATAAATATGAATATTACTTAAATGCATCATTTATCAAGCTGTAGAAGTGTTGAATTATATATGTAAATCAACAACCTGTAACACGTTTAAAAGTCATATGTCTTCTCTATAAACCTCTTCTCTCTATACCTCTTCTCTATAAAACTTTACAATAATTTCAATATATTATGACTTAATAATGCTTAACAGCAGAACATTAGAACCCCGGTGCAGCTCATGTTTTATCATCAATATAAAACAAGCGCAGTTGCCTGTTATGTGACGTCACAGCCATTTCCACTTCAATATCCACAGTATCCACTTCTTTGAGCGCTCATTTTGTATCTCGATGTTAATATCTCGTTACTGTTTTGCTGAGTGAACTCTAATGATTCAGTTCAATGATTCACTGAACAATAAAGAACCGGATTCAAAAGATTAATTCGGGAATTGCTAGTTCTGATTCTAAACAACAGACTGAAAACAAGACTTAATTCCTGAAGTATTGTCAGGGTAAATGTTTCTCTGGTCAGTATACTGTAGTTACAGATTTATAAATAGTATAGTAAAACTGTTCTGGCACAGACAACAGTATTTTAACTGGGGCTCGTGTCCCAGTCAAACGAGTCTGGAGAAGCACCTTTACTGTAAGGCATCAAATTTCATCTCTTTTTTTACTGCCACCCACAGGAATAGATCGGTATTGCAGTATTAAACATATAAAAGTGCAGCTGCAAACTTGGCTCTTGTATGATGAACTGTGCATGACCATAGGTATACTTTATTGTCTTTATTTATTTATTTTTTAAACAAAATGCCCTACTAATATACTATATGTATTAATATATGCACTAACTGTGAACTTGACAAGCATTGCTAAAATATACTTCTGAAAAACAGTAGCTAAAATAAATGTACATGTGCTTTTATAACTAATATTTCTAAACATGAACTCAAAGCGAGAAGCATGAAACAATATGTTATGAGCGTTAGTATTTCTATATCTGCAAAAGCTGAGCTTTGATGCTGTTAATAAACTTGACACCTGAGAGCTATGATGATGTCATGACGAGCGTACGGAACTCTGAGATCAAAAAAGGTGTTTTACTTTCTTATCAACTTTTAAAAATAATATTACTCTAAAATCAAGATCATTACAGATAATATTTTAAATTACTGTTGTTTTGCTTATATATTTAATTTTGACTGATATTTGCATTTGTAGTGGACGCACCAGAGAATTATGATGATGTCATCATTAATAGACTGACCTCTCAAGGTGTAACAGGTGAGATGCACAGAACTACATGTTTATCACCCTTTGCATGTTTAGATGAGTATTAGACATTTGTTCAAGTCACTTAAAGGAAAAGGGATGCCTCAAATTATATGACTTGTTTTTTGTCATTCTCGATCAGAGAGAGTTCAAGAGTATGATGATGTGATGAGTGTCAGTGAAGATGTGAGAAACCTGTTGGGTAAGTTACTGTAACCCTTTTGTTCTCATTATATTAACATCTTTATATATATATTGGAATTTTTTTGACATTTTTCCAGTTTTTTTATACTTTTAAAATATTCATCCAATTACAACATTTGACATGATTTGTAATATTTTTAATAACAGATTATGATGATGTGGAGGAGGAGTCAAACAAAGAAGATTTTTCCCAATGATCATCCATTTCCTTGGTTCAACAAATTTGAACAAAGTTTGAGTGATATTGTTATTGATATGTCAAATCTTGGGGTTTTATGTTTTACCAAGTGTTCTTTTTTTTGTATTAAAACTTCTATGCCTTTGTCAGATTTTGTTGTTTAGTTTTTTGGCCTTGTTAATAGCAATAAAAAACTTTTCAGACAAATTTTTGTGTTTATTTCAATAAGGCATTACACAAACCCTGAAGTCAATGCAATGTTTAATGCACAACTGCTGCGGTGACCATCAAAGTCATCCTAAATATAAGCCATAAATGACCATCAGTGTTTTCACAGCCTTCAGCATCATCACAGCAAGTACTGGAGTTTTGTGGGTGGATAATGCTTAAAAAAATGCATTTACTTTGGATGCATTAAAGTAACTTTCGTAATAGAAAAAAAAAATAATTATATGACATAATTGTATGTGATCAGGTGTGTTTTTAATCGATAAATAAATATGAATATTACTTACATGCATCATTTATCAAGCTGTAGAAGTGAGTAATATATGTAAATCAACAAACTGTAACACGTTTAAAAGTCATATTTCTTCTCTATAAACCATAAGAATCACTTTGAAATAACTTCAATATATTATGACTTAATAATGCTTAACAGCAGAACATTAGAACCCCGGTGCAGCTCATGTTTTATCATCAATATAAAACAAGCGCAGTTGCCTGTTATGTGACGTCACAGCAATTTCCACTTCAATATCCACAATATCCACTTCTTTGAGCGATCATTTTATATCTCGATGTTAATATCTCGTTACTGTTTTGCTGAGTGACTCCAATGATTCAGTTCAATGATGTACTGAACAATAAAGAACCGGATTCAAAAGATTAATTCTTGATTTTTTTGATTCTGAAAGTTTTGATTCAAAACAGCAGACTCAAAGACTTAATTCCTTAAGTATTGTCAGGGTAAATGTTTCTCTGGTTATATTGCAGTTAAAGATTAATGAGTAAAACTGTTCTGGCACAGACAACAGTATTTTGGGGCTCGTGTCCCAGTCAAACGAGTCTGGAGAAGCACCTTTACTGTAAGGCATCAAATTTCATCTCTTTTTTTACTGCCACCCACAGGAATAGATCGGTATTGGAGTATTAAACATATAAAAGTGCAGCTGCAAACTTGGCTCTTGTATGATGAACTGTGCATGACCATAGGTATACTTTATTGTCTTTATTTATTTATTTTTTAAACAAAATGCCCTACTAATATACTATATGTATTAATATATGCACTAACTGTGAACTTGACAAGCATTGCTAAAATATACTTCTGAATAACAGTAGCTAAAACAAATGTACATGTGCTTTTATAACTAATATTTCTAAACATGAACTCAAAGCGAGAAGCATGAAACAATATGTTATGAGCGTTAGTATTTCTATATCTGCAAAAGCTGAGCTTTGATGCTGTTAATAAACTGGAATGTTTCCTGTCCCTGAAATCAGTTTCCTGTATGTTTGACTTTGTCACCCCTCTATCTTGTGTGTTTCTCCCCAGTTAAGTGTCTCTATAAGATGGAGGAGGAGTCCTGTTCATCAATGCTGACGTACTTTTAATAAATATGGTGAAAATCATAAATATGCCTTCTGATTAGTCAGTGAAGCTTTTTGATGATTTCCTCTCTTCTGTCTAATAAGGTAAAAGTGTATTTGATTGGCTTGTTGTTTGGTGGTTGTGTAGCTTTCTGTATCTGTCTCTCTTGAACCTTACAGTTCAGAGTTGATCAAACAGAGTGTATGATCAGCAAAGATGGAGAACTGTCTAACTCTCATTTTTTTGTCTTCTGTGATCAAACTCACCACAGCTGGTACGTACACACTCATGATCGTTATATGTTAGTTATGTTATAGTGATTGACTGTTTGTGTTTGTGATATAAATAGGTCATAATATAATTTATAGTTCCCCTAGTATTTGCACTAATATAAAAGTTAATTTCTTTCTCATGGTCATTTTCTCTGTTCCTCTCTCTTTTGCTGACTTTTCTCTGTTGTTGTTTGTCTTCTCTCAGATACATTTTATATACATCTTTCTGTATCTTGCAGGAAATGTGAGGCTGGTGGATGGTAGTAATTCCTGTGCTGGTAGGGTGGAGGTTTATTACAGTGGAGAATGGGGAACCGTGTGTGATGATTATTGGGATTTGACAAACACTGCAGTGGTGTGTAGAGAGCTGGGCTGTGGCGAAACTTCAAACACAATGCGTGCTGCTCACTTTGGACCAGGATCAGGAAAAATCTGGATGGATAATGTGATATGTAGTGGATCTGAGTCCTCAATATTTGATTGCTCAAAAAAAAAATGGGTGACCATAACTGTGAGCATAGTGAAGATGTTGGCATTATCTGCTCAGGTAGGCTGATTTTATCACTACCTTTCATTAACAAATAAATACATTATTTACTATAATAAAAGCATGCATGTACTAAGTAGATTATTTAAATCAGACTTTAAACCATTAGGAGAGTCAAAGGAGTGATGTAATACAGGGTGAGTTTAATCATTTAGAATTGAGCTACAGGGGAGAACTCACTCAATATTATACCAGTCATATGACCACTGTATGATTTGAGGTGAAAGCAGAAGTTGAAAGTCTCTGTGTAAAAATATAAAGGATCTACAGTGCATGAAAAAATAATAATAATAAAGGTTTATGATTTGAATTGTGGTTAGGTTAATGTTTAAATACAGTACATTACCTGAAACTCTCTTGTGTAATTTCATATTTAATATTTACTCTAAATGTTACACTTTCACCTATATGTTAAGAACCTTAACATTTTAATTAACAAAATTAATTAATATACACAATTCAAACTGATGTTCTATTAATGTTACTTTTCAACAAAATGCTAAATTTGGTATTACATCAAGGACTTGAATAGGCTTGGACTTAGTCCTTCTCCCCCATGCGCAAGGCAATGGTGACACCAGAATAGACATATTAAATGATTCTGCTTAGCTAAAAATACAGAATTATGTTAAGCACGTATTCTTACACTCTGTCCCCGACTACATTTTATTAAATTATGCATTTTATTTTTCATTTATTAATAAATAATAATAATATTAATAAATAATAAACATGAAAGCTCAAATGTGTGACCTTTTGGGTTTACCATATTTAATGCACCATTACTATATTTGATGCTAAATTAAATGTCTAAACTTTCATTTCATATTGTGACAAAATATATTGCTACGCCCCTAGTCAACCCAGTGTGTCAAATGTAGCAGGACCTGCACGGACCCCACATGTTACTCTAGGGCTGTAACAACACTACTCTCTAAATAATTTAAGAAAAGTTGTAGATTTCAAAACAACTTTAATCTGTGGCAAAAGCCTGAGCACAACACCACAACACTCCTCTCCTAGTACAGTATATAAATTTTGGGGAATTTTTTTAATGTTATATTATGACTTTTAACAGTTTGTTATGACTAACATTTCAGGCATCAGGCTTGTTGGAGGTTCTCGCTGCTCTGGGAGATTAGAGGTGCCTCATGGGAACACATGGTACACAGTCTGTGCCGCTGCCTTTGACCAGCAGAATGCAGAGGTTGTGTGTAGAGAGCTGGACTGTGGGGCTCCTGTACAGGTGCTGGGAGCAGCTGCTTTTGACAAAGGAGACACTCAGATGTGGACACAAGAGATTCAGTGCAGAGGC